GAAGTCTTCATGCAGGCCCCCACACTTGTACCCTAAAGTTCAAAGTGGGGATACAGCCTTGACACAAGCGATGTCAGAAGTCATTGCCCACATCAAGGCCATCTGCTCACGACCGCGTGGGTCTGCCTCAAGCTGCTGGGCCACGTGGCAGCATGTACTTATGTGGTGCAGTATGCATGGCTGCATCTCGGGCCTCTGTAGATGTGGCTGGCATCAGTTTACTCCCCCAGCAGACACCACTTGGACTTGGTTCTCACAATTCCATCGAATGTTCTGGCATCACTGACTTGCTGGACAGAACCGCAGATGGTGATGAACGAAGTCCCCTTCACTGCCCGATTCCTGTTGGTGACATTGGTCTCAGATGCTTCAGACCTCAGGTGGGGAGCCCACCTCGGCAGTCTCTGTACTCAGGGCCTTTGGTCTCAGGAGGATCTCTCCCTTCACATAAATGTCAGGGTGATATGCTTGGCCTGCTAGGTGTTCCTTCCCTACCTATCAGGCAGAGCGGTACAGATCTTGACAAACAGTATGGCCAAGATGTTCTACATCAACAAACAAAGATGAGCTCACTCTTCAGCCCTGTGTCAGGAGGCTCTTTGATTGTGAGACTTCTGTGTGGAACACGCCGTTCACCTCAAGGTGTCACACCTCCCGGGGACCCGGAATGCACTGGTGGATCTCCTCAGCAGGTCCTTCTCCTCTCACCATGAGTGGTCCCTGCACCCGTTGGTTGTCAACTCCATCTTCCAGAGATGGGGGACTCCCCTGGTGGAGCTGTTCGCTTCCAGACAGAACAGGAGATGCCTGCAATTTTTCTCGATGTGCGGTCTCAGTCAGGGCTCCCTGTCTGATGCCTTCCTGCTCTTGTGGGCAGGGGGACTGCTATATGCCTTCCTACCCAACACCCTTGGTCCACGGGGTCCTCTTAAAGATCACAAAAAGGACATGGCGAGGGTTATCTTGATTGGTTCGGCACGCTTCTGGACCTTTTGGTAGCAGCCCCACTACAGCTCCCACTACGCCCGGACTTGATCTCGCAGAACCAAGGTTGGTTGCTTCACCCAAACCTTGCGTCCCCACATCTGATGGCTTGGATGCTGCATGGTTGAACCCTTGGGAACGGGCCTTCTCGGAGCGGGTCCAGCAAGTCTTACTGGGTAGGGGAAAACCCTCTACCGGGGCAACCTATTTTGCCAAGTGGAAGCACTTCAGTTGTTGGACCTCTGATCGGGGTCTTTCCCCATATCGGTCGTCTAGTCCATCTTGGAGTATTCACTACACCTGAAGTACCAGGGTCTGACCCTATCGTCAATCCAGGTCCACCTGGTGGCCATCTCGGCCTTCCACCCTCTGGTCCAAGGTAAATCAGTCTTCTTGCATGAGATAACAGTCAGGTTCCTTAACGCCTTGGAAAGACTCTACCCTCAGTTTTGTAACCCAATTCCCCCATGGGACTTGAATCTGGTACTGTCAAGGCTCACAGGACCCCCACTTTGAGCTGTTGGCATCTTGTTTGCTGCTGCTCTTCTCATGGAAGGTGGCCTTCCTAGTGACAATTACATTGGCCAGAAGGGTCTCCGAAATTAGAGCCCAAACTTCAGAACCCCCTTATACGGTGTTCTTCAAGGAGAAGGTCCTACTGTCTCTCGACCCCTCCCCCCCAGTCCTTCCTGCCAACTGTGGTGTCACAGTTCCATAACAACCAAGACATTTTTCTTCCTGTCTTGTTTCCGTAGCCTCACAGATCAGACGAGGAACGTCAGCTGCATACCTTAGATGTTAGGCGGGCACTAACCTTCTATATCGAACGGACTAAACCCTTCCGCAAGGCGACATGGCTCTTTATAGCGGTGGTGGACAGGATAAAAGATTTGCTGGTGTCATCCCAGAGGATCTCAGCCTGGATAACCGCCAGCATCAGGATGTGCTACGAGCAGGCGAAAGTTCCGCCTCCGGCCATTGTTACAGCCCATTCTACAAGGGCCCAGGCTTTGTCAGCAGCATTCCTCGTGCAGATTCCAATCCAGGACATTTGCAGGGCCACGACATGGTCATGAATTCATATCTTCACGTCCCATTACGCCATCACCCAGCAGACCAGTGATGATGCCACTTTTGGGAGAGCAGTGTTCTAGTCGACACGTCCATGAACTCTGAGTCCACCACCAGGGATACTGCTTGGAAGTCACCTAGCATGGAATCACAATATGAGCAAGCATTTGAAGAAGAAAGAACTGTTACTAATGTTCTGTAATGGTTGTTCTTCAAAATGTGTTGCTCATGTCCATTCCATGACCCGTCCTCCTTCCCCTCTGTCAGAGTTACCAGCAAGAAGGAACTGAGAGGGTGCGGGGCCAGTGGCACCCCTTATACCGGCGCATAAGCGCAGGGTTCCAGGGGCGCTAGCACTGGCCCCTACAGATACTGCTAAGGGAATAATCTGCAGCAATGGTGCACATGGCACGCACACACCTAACATGAAATGGACATTAGCAACACATTTTGAAGAACGGTTATGGAAGGTTAGTAACAGTGTTTTCTTTTGGAGGTGTTGCACATCTCCATTCCAAGACCCACCCTCCTTTTCCTTTATATTGGAGTCTGTCTGGTAAGAAGGAACTGTGGAGGATTGAGGGCATTTCTGCCCTTTATACCATCACACAGCAGTCCGAGGCAGCAGTGGGCACATGTAGTGCCCTGATGGGTGCCACTGATGGAAAAATCTCCAACAGTGCACTGGGTATGCATACACCTGAGGTGGAATGGACATATGTAACACATCTCGAAGAACAGCCATTATGAAACAAGTTAGTAACACTTTATTCCTCAAAAATTGTGTTCTCTATAACATACATTAATTTGCTGTAGCTTTTGATTTGCAATGCACAACTCGCACTCCCATGAAATTATGGATTAAATAAAGAAAAGTTTGAGTAATATCAAGAAGTAGTTATTGTTGCCCAGCTACTGTCAGTAATTTAAATATTGGCAATTAAGACACTGATTCAGTGGTATAATGGTATAGTACTATATTATTTTAATTACATTTTTTGTTTATTCAAGGGAGGAAAAAACTGAGCAGCTGCTGGATTGTAAACAAGAGCTTGAACAGATGGAGGCTGAACTAAAGAGACTGCAGCAGGAGGTGTGTATCTTGGACATCTATTATACAAGTCAACATAACTTTTAAGAATTTGACCATCCTCAATAACAGTATTATTTTCATTTTTCAGCTTATACAGCTGTTTGTGTTTTTGTTTTGTTGCATTAATATCGCACCTATATATATGAACTTTTATAACTTATTAATTGATTTTATCCAATTTGTCTTAATTGCAAAAATGATCACTTATTATATATTAATGGGTCTTGTATGAATGGCCTGTGCAAAAGTCTCACATCTATGTTGTACCACCAGAATACCCCAGAAATATGAATGTACAGAGCGTATCTTGAAAAGCTCCAGTAACCTTCATTTTTAATTCTCTATTTTGTGTATGCCTGTTGATAGACAACGGGTGAAAAGGCATTTTTCAATTGTTCTTCAGTACGCCTATATATAAAACCATATTTCAGGTCATTCATAGATATCATCGTAAATGGAAAAGCTTTGGTCCTCCTATTGTGATCAGTAGAGAGATTCTTCTTTGAGTAAATGCAGATATGTATTCCAAGTAGGTGTGTGCACGCCTCATGCGCTGGAGCCAGTCTTTTGCCTAGTACCCACAGAGGGGCAGTGCACGTGCCTCATGGCTGTCGCCCCTCCCGGGCTGTATAAGGCGGTGCCACTCCGACCCTGTCATAACTATAAAGGGAAGGGTAACAGCCCTCCTGTGTACAGTACTATAAAATCCCTCGTGGCCAGAGACTCCAAAATCCTTTTACCTGTAAAGGGTTAAGAAGCTCAGGTAACCTGACTGACACCTGACCCAAAGGACCAATAAGGGGACAAGATACTTTCAAATCTTGGTGGGGGGAAGGCTTTGGATTGTGCTCTTTGTTTTGGGGGTTGTTCGTTCTTGGGACTGAGAGGGACCAGACATCAATCCAGGTTCTCCAAATCTTTCTGAACGAGTCTCTCATATTTCCAACTTGTAAGTAAACAGCCAGGCAAGGCGTGTTAGTTTTTATCTTTGTTTTCTCAACTTGTAAATGTACCTTTTTGCTAGAGTGTTTATCTCTGTTTGCTGTAACGTTGAACCTAAGGCTAGAGGGGATTCCTCTGGACTCTTTAAGTTCGATTACCCTGTAAAGTTATTTTCCATCCTGATTTTACAGAGATGATTTTTACCTTTTCTTTAATTAAAAGCCTTCTTTTAAGAACCTGATTGATTTTCCTTGTTTTTAGTATCCAAGGGGGTTGGATCTTGATCCACCAGGAGTTGATGGGAGAAAGGAGGGGGATAGTTAATTTCTCCTTGTTTAAG